CCCCAAAACCCCAAAACCCCAAAACCCCAAAACCCCAAAACCCCTTCAGTATTGTTGTAAATTGAACAAAGTATGGCAAACAAAAAATTTTGTTGCTGGTGACATTCCTAATTAAAAATAATTCTTGCTATTAAGGACAGCTACAATGACTCCTCACAATCCAAGGAATCATAGCACTAGGCATAAGTCACAGCAAAGCTTATTGGTACTTCTGATCTTCTGAAGGACATCCTTCAGGTGATTATTTTGTTGTCTGAGTCTTAAGTTAGTTTTCTCTACCTTTTTGTTAGTCTTTTTCAATAATTCATTCTGTCTCTCAATTCCTTCATGAAGTTGATTTCCTTTTTCCTCGAGTTGGCCAAGACCAGCTATAACTTTGTCCAGTATTTTATCAAGTTCTTCATCATTCTTCTTGAATTGGACTAAAGCTTGTTTTTCTTCCTCAGTAAGTTCTCTATCAACATATTTTTCTTCTTCTCCCTCTAAGTCAACTTTCACTTGTTTTGGAGAGATCTGATCTGAATCTGTGTTGTTGTAATCACCAAAGATCTTATTTGGTGCATCTTGATCCACACTAACATTGGCCTTATCCCCCATTATGTCGTCTCTGAGGAGCATCAGATTCTTCCTGAGAAGGCCAATAGTCTTATTCCTATTATTAAGGTCCTCTTTAGAGTAACTAGCTGCTTTCTTTTTAACCAAAATTTCTACAGTGTTGATTTCCTCCTCTGCTTCATCAATAGATTTTCTTATCCTAAGATCTGCGACAATTCGATCTTTGTTCTGGTAGCCATGGATCTTAATGTTTTCTTTTCTCTTCTCAATGTCTTCCTTAATGCGGTTAATCTTGTTCTTGATGCCAATCACCATTCCTTGGTACTGGTCAAGATTCTTAAGCCCTTTGAGTTCTTTTCCATTTTCTAGGTCTTCTCCACCCAATCTTACGTACATATACTCTAGTTTCTTATCCATAGTATCAATCTTCCTCTTGACTAGTTCATTTTTTACCATTTTAAACTAATTTTATAATCCCTTTTTGTCAAAAGGGGTTTTGGGGTTTTGGGGTTTTGGGGTTTTGGGG